ATGAGGTTGGTCGGTAGGAGATGGGGGTGGGGCTTGAGGTGGGAGGAGGGGATAGGTGGGAGGAAGAACAGGTTAGGGAGGCAGGGACGAGCTGGACTGGTTTTGGGATACGGTAGGGGGAGGGGAGATTTTGAAACTTGTGAAATCCACATTGATACCATTGGGCTGCAGGGTTCCCAAGCGGAATATGAGTTGCTGTTCCTGCAACCTTCGGGTGGCATCGTTGTGGCACTGCAGGAGGCCCAGGATGGACATGTCGTCTGAGGAATGGGAGGGGGAGTTGAAATGGTTCGCGACTGGGAGGTGCAGTTGTTTGTTGCGAACCGAGCGTAGGTGTTCTGCAAAGCGGTCCCCAAGCCTCTGCTTGGTTTCCCCGATGTAGAGGAGGCCACACCGGGTACAGCGGATGCAGTATACCACATTGGCAGATGTGCAGGTGAGCATCTGCTTGATGTGGAAAGTCTTCTTGGGGCCTGGGATGGGGGTGAGGGGGGAGGTATAGGGGCAGGTGTAGCACTTCCTGCGGTTGCAGGGAAAAGTGCCGGGTGTGGTGGGGCTGGAGGGGAGTGTGGAGCAGACAAGGGAGTCATGGAGAGAGTGGTCCCTCCGGAAAGCAGATAAGGGTGGGGAGGGAAAAATGTCTTTGGTGGTCGGGTTGGATTGCAGATGGCGGAAGTGTCGGAGGATGATGCATTGGATCCGGAGGTTGGTGGGGTGGTACGTGAGGATGAGGGGGATTCTGTTGTGGTTGTTATTGTGGGGAGGGGGTGTGAGGGATGAGTTGCGGGAAATGTGAGAGACACAGTCGAGGGCGTTTTCGACCACTGTGGAGGGGAATTTGCAGTCCTTGAAGTTCCCCTCCACAGTAATTCAAGGCCCGCAACTTCCCCTCCACAGTACACATGGGCCCAAGCTATGCCTGCCTCTTTGTAGGTTACGTGGAACAATCCCTCTTCCGTACCTACACCAGCCCTATCCCCCACCTCTTCCTCTGTTACATCGATGACTGTATCGGCGCCGCCTCGTGCTCCCACGAGGAGCTCAAACAGTTCATCCACTTCACTAACACCTTCCACCCCAACCTTAAGTTCACCTGGACCATCTCTAACACCTCTCTCTCCTTCCTGGATCTCTCTGTTTCTATCTCTGGCAACCACCTGGAAATCGATATCCATTTCAAGCCTACTGACTCCCCCAGCTACCTAGAGTACACCTCCTCACCCACCTTCCTGCAAAAAGACTATCCCCTATTCCCAATTCCTTCGCCTCTGCTGCATTTGCTCCTGAGATGAGACATTCCACTCCCGGACCAGATGTCCTTGTTTTTCAAGGACCGCAACTTCCCCTCCACAGTGGTCAAAAACGTCCTCGACCGTGTCACCTGCACATCTGCCAATGTGGTATACTGCATCCGCTGTTCCCGTTGTGGCCTCCTCTACATCGGGGAAACCAAGCGGAGGCTCGGGGACCGCTTTGCAGAACACCTACGCTCAGTTTGCAACAAACAACTGCACCTCTCAGTCGTGAACCATTTCAACTCTCCCTCCCATTCCTCAGACGACATGTCCATCCTGGGCCTCCTGCAGTGCCACAACGATGCCAGCCGAAGGTTGCAGGAACAGCAACTCATATTCCGCTTGGGAACCCTGCAGCCCAATGGTATCAATGTAGATTTCACAAGCTTCAAAATCTCCCCTCGCCCGACCGCATCACAAAACCAGCTCAGCTTGTCCCTGCCTCCCTAACCTGTCCTTCCTCCCACCTATCCATTCCTCCCACCTCAAGCCCCACCCACATCTCCTACCTACTAACCTCATCCCACCCCCTTGACCTGTCCGTCCTCCCTGGACTGACCTATCCCCTCCCTAACTCCCCACCTACACTCACTTTTACTGGCTCCATCCCCGCCTCTTTGACCTGTCTGTCTCCTCTCCACCTATCTTCTCCTCTATCCATCTTCTATCCGCCTCTCCCTCTCTCCCTATTTATTTCAGGATCCCCTTCCCCTCCCCCATTTCTGAAGAAGGGTCTTGACCCGAAACGTCAGCTTTCCTGCTCCTCTGATGCTGCTTGGCCTGCTGTGTTCAGCCAGCTCTACACCTTGCTATTTCAGATTCTCCAGCATCTGCAGTTCCTCCTATCTCCCCCAGGACTATCCCGGTTTTGAATGACAACATGATTGAGAAAACTGTCAGATAGAACACATGGGGGCTGTGAGGGAGTACAGTGAGGCGGAAGGGGGTGGGGAGGAGGAGTGAAACAGGAATGGGAGTTGCTGAAAGGGGTAGGGTGCAGGGGAGGGAATTGGGAAGTGGAGTTTGGTGGGGATAGATCAGTGAGCCAGCTGCCAGGGTGGAGGAGACAGTGATCTGGGGGAGGCATGAGTCTGGGGGAGACATAGTTCTGGGGGAGATGTGGGTCTGTGGGAGGCAGGGGTCTGGTGGAGGCAGTGATTTGGGGGAGACAGGGGTCTGGAGATGGCAGGGGACTGGGGGAGGCAGGGATTTGGGGGAGACAGGGGTCTGGAGATGGCAGGGGCCTGGGGGAGGCAGGGATTTGGGGGAGACAGGGGTCTGGAGGTGGCAGGGGTCTGGAGGTGGCAGGGATTTGGGGTCTGCATTGAGTCGAGGGAAGTTATGCGAACACGTTCTTACCCAAAGTCTCCAACTCCCAGAGCAGGATGCCGAAAGCCCAGACATCCCCGTGCAGGGAGTAAATCCCTTCAGTAAAGAATTCCGGTGGGTACCAGCGGAACGGGATGCCAGGGTTCTGCACAGAAAGATCAAACCTTCAGAAGGACAGCCTGTGTACAGCTGGAAACGAGGGAGGAGCACACAGAGACAAATCCCTGAGACCGGGCCCCGAGCCCAGGCCCTGAGAACAATCCCCAAGACCAGGCCCTGAGCAATCAGTCACAGGGCCCCAGTCTGGAGCACAGTTTGGTTGCCAGAGTTGAGAATGGATATACTGACATTTGAGGCAGATCAGTCCAGGGACACTTGGTTAATTCCTGGAATGAAGCGTTGTCTCATGCAGAAAGGTTGATGAGATTCGCACTACAGACTCATTGGAGTTTAAAGAATGAGAGGTGACCTGATTGAAATGTAAAAGGTTTAGAGGAGACTAACATGGAAGATATTGAGCAGATGTTAACACTCTGAGGGTATCTAGAACAGAGTGCACATTACAGTAATTGGGTGGGGGGACGGGGGATGGGGGGAACCATTTAAGATGCTGATAGGAAGCAGTTTTCCACCCAGACAGTTGTTAAATTTTCAAGCCAAATACAACTCTGGGGTACAGTACCGGTGGGGACAGGTCTGACGCTGCGTAACACTGGGGTACAGTACTGGTGGGGACAGGTCTGTCACTGTGTAACACTAGGGTACAGTACCGGTGGGGACAGGTCTGTCTCTGTATAACACTGGGGTACAGTACTGGTG